CCCTGGGTCCCCCCCCAGCTGCGGGGCTGCTCTGGCAGGGGAGGGGGCGCCCCCAGCACAGTCAAGTAGCCCCGCGTGGGGCGCATCAGTGCTGCACTGCCAGAGCAGCAGGGCCACAGAATGGCCCCCTGGGATCTTTGCCTGCTGGCAAGGAACAGGCACGAGGTGTCACCGCGCACGCCTGGCTCCGTTCCACTGAACACTTTCCCATTTCCCTCCAGCTCTCCTGTTTGGGGGGAAGGCCAATACCCCGGGGTGGCCATTTCATCTTCCAGCTAGTCCCACTGGTCTGAGTCTCCCCTTGGACACCCTGGCCTTTGGGTCAGGTTACCCGGGCGGGCCCACACAGGCTGTCCCACACAAACGCTGAGTCCCCAGCAGGGTGCCAAGTGCACTTTTTAATTCTGGGACATTTCGCCTGACACTTTAAGGAGCGGCTAGTTTTTACATGAGCAGATACAAAGAAAGGCTGCCCTAAGCAGCCAGCCAGGGTATAGCTGTGGGTCTGCTGTGCTGTACGGCCTTCTCTTCCAACGGGGAAGTCGCATTGGCTTCTGTTTACTCTTTAATATTTCTGAGGGTGGCAGAGACTCACAAATTTGAGTCCCTGCAGTGAATGCCATGAAGGGGATGTTTGTACTCAGATCCTTAGAGCCGTTGTAACCCCCTTTTTCCTCCCTGGGTTTCTCGGGAGCAGGTCACACTCACAGGTGTGCCTGGGCGCCTGATGGTTTTAACTGAAAAGGAGATCCTGAGCATCCCAGTGGCGATGGTGTTTAGTTGGGGAAAGCCCTACCCACCTCCTTGCTGCAGCCCCTTGCTCATAATGCATGTACAATGGCAGTGCCTCCACCTGGCTGGCCTTGTACACACTGACTGGTGTGCCTTGAGAGCCTCCAGGAACATACTCATTCCAGCTATAATATGGATCTAATTCCAAAACAACAACTACAAATCCTGTACATCTCATAGATTACTTTAAAATAAACAATCTTTACTTAACTTCAATAGACAGGGGTTAACAGATGAACAAGGAACAGCATTAACAAAGTGCACAAGAAGAACTGGAGCTTGTGTATCTAGCCTGTGCACTGCCAATATTGATCCCCCACCCAGAGCGTGCACACCCCTGCAGACTCTTGCTTGCGTGGGCGCGCTTGAAGAACTGCAGCTGTAGTGGAGACTGAGTCCAAGCGAGGCAGCAGCTCTGTCCCAGGCAGCACTTTCCCAAAAAGGCCCAATTACTTACTGCCTTGTGCTGTGCCTATCAGAAGTAGCCTGCTAGATCCCAGTCCCAAAAGTCCCAGTCTGTAGCTGCACGCCAACAGCCCCTGGACTGGATCAAACTCCTCCACAGCAGCCCGGCTCCCCGTCTGTTCCAAACTCCAAGGCAGAGTCCCACACGGCTAGACCTCTCTTCTCATGCACATGGAGAGAGTGATCTCCCACACACGAGTCACTTCCTTCCTGTTTTTCCCAAGGGCTCATGGGAATTGTAGTCTGGATTGTAGCACACAGGGTCTTTCCAGAATAAAACAGAGGCCCCTTTAGTAAGGGAACTACACCGTGGTTTTCAAAGTGGTCCGCGGACCCACTCTGAGAAAGCTGCTACCAGGCCGCTCCAGTTTGTTTACTTACCGGCGCCACAGCCAAGGAGCTTCGCGACTCCCATTGGCTGCCATTTGCCGTTTGCAGCCAAGGGGAGACATGGGAAGCAGCGAGGCTTCATGGCTGCAAAGCCTGTAAATAAACAAACCAGAAGGGCCTGGTAGCAGCTCTCTCAGGCTATGTCCACGCTGCGGGCTTCTTGCACAGGAAGCTTTCTGCAGAAAAGATCTTCCACAAAAACTTAATAAACAAACCAGAAGGGCCTGGTAGCAGCTCTCTCAGGCTATGTCCACGCTGCAGGCTTCTTGCACAGGAAGCTTTTTGCAGAAAAGATCTTCCACAAAAACTTATTGTGCAAGGGAGCATCCACACTGCAAAAGCGAATCGGAAAAGCGATGTGCTTTTGTGCAAGAGACTGTCCAGACTGCATGGACGCGCTCTCACAAGAAAGCTCTGGTTGCCATTCACAGAATGGCCACCAGGGCACCTGTGTCTCTTTCCATAGGCTGTTTTTGCACAAAGAAACCTGTTTCCTTTCCACACACACCTTTTTGCACAAGAGCTCTTGCGCAAAATGGAGTTATTCCTCGTAGAAAGAGGAATACGTATACTGCAAAAACCCCTCTGTTCTGTTGATTCACTGTACATTTTCTTGTGCAAAAACACGCTTGAAGTGTGGACACTCCACACTCAAGTAAAAAACTCTTCAGAGTAGACATAGCTTTAGTGATTTTTTTCTCAATCATAGCCTCAGAGTGGGTCCATGACCACTTTGAGAAACACTGCCTTAGAGTAACACACTAGGAACCTCCTTCCAATCTGGAGTGTCGGTTGTTTTTCAGTCATTTTTTTTACTTTTAAGCATTCCTGGAAAAAATTAACTCTCTCATTCTCCTCTTCACAAGAGGCCATAAGACCTTTAAAAAATAACAATAACTATAAGGCTAAGTAGATTGTATGTATCTCTACTACAGAGTGTCCAAAGTATCAAACTTGTGCTAAGGCTCCAAAACTGACATCTCAAGATCTGGGATTGGAAATAGCTTGTTGTTGATTGTTCTAATTTGACAAATAAACTTAAAATATGGCTTTCATTGACATTGATTATATTTTTCTTCATATAAGAATTATGAACACTCTTCCTGTCAGTTAATTTCTACATTTTCACCCACAAACTCCAGCCCCCTCCCCCAGCTTCTGGAATGGAATTGTGGTTAAATCTATTTTTTTCCCCCCCCCCCCTCACTGCTAGCCTCCAAAGTGTCCCTCTCCCCCACACCAAAGTGTCCCGTGAAGGTTCCCCAGGCCAGGAGCAGGGTAACTGGTTAATCTGGCCCTCCAGCGGTTAAACTGAATGACTTTCCCTTGTAACATGTATGATAAAGAAGCAACTACAGCTCCGAGACCCAGACCAGGGCCTAGGAGAAAGTAGGGTCTTGTCGAGCGCCTTTCAGACTCAAGCTTTCCAAGAGCTCTTTGCAGTCGTATGCTCAGCCCTGGCTCCCACATGACTGTGGACTCTAGAACCTGTGGTTCAGAGAGGGGACGCTGGGCAGAAGTTAAAGTCATTCCCTACATTATGTTCAGAAAGTGCTGGAGGACCGGTAGCATCCACCTGCGGAACAAGGACGATCAGCATCCCAGAAACTCAGCACTCTGGTATATTCACTACGAGACCTTCTGAGGTCTCTTCTAGCTCTATGGTTCTATGATTCTATGACTCAGACAGCATAAGGTTCAGTTCCACCACGACACTTGAAGCCAAAGGTGCTTCTAGCCTAGAGCCTTAATGAGTGACCCATTCTGACCCCTATGATGACCAGCTGGTTCATTAAATGCAAGTCGCTTGGACCCTTGAGAGTTTTCTCTCACCAGAAAGCGATCCCTGTTGGGAACCTCATAGTGCCAGTGCACAACCTCTTGTCTTGCCAGCAGACCCCTACACTTGAGCTAAAAAAGAATCTGTTGCTCTTATAAGTGTAGAGCTACGACAGCCGTGGCCAACCCGAGGCTCGCGAGCCACATGCGGCTCTGCCCTCCCTTGCCCAGGTGTGGCTCATGAAGCCTCCCCTCCCCCCGCGTGGCTCAAAAGCCGCCCCTATGCCAACCCTCTCCTCCCGGCTCCCTGTGCTGACCTGGGCAGGGGAGCCGTTTGGCGCGCCCATGAACGATGCAAAAATAAAGATGGCAGCAGGCGGCAGGAGCCTGCTGTGACCAAAAAGCCTCAAAACACGTTTAAATGCGGTTTCTTAAAGAGGCCAAATGCGACCGGGGGCTCCTTTTAAAGGGGCAGTCCTTTTTTTTTTTTTTTCCTCGACAACTTTTCCTGGCTCTTTGTCCAGAATGGGTTGGCCACCTCTGGGCTATGATATACAGTTGAACAGGTCTCACTCTGTCCAGTAGAGGGCACTGCTGCACACACATACTACCCAGAGCAATTCTAATTCCACCCAGCAAAGGGCAGAGTACTAGTATCAGTTAATCTTATGATATTTATTAGCTGTTGAGTTGGGTCCATCTCTTAAGAGCTCCACATGTAAAACATAAAGCACGCCTTCATGTAATGGAGAATGTACCTGAAATCTAGCTCTGTTGGGTTGGAAAACTCCATTTGGGGAACACTGCGAGAAGTTGCAGAACAAGGAGGAGTTGAACAAACTTCCCATTAGTTTTCTGCAGGCAGAAGAGTTGCTGGAACCAGTTACATGAAACACGTCCTCTGATGTCACTGCTCTTAAAGGGATATTATTTGCACTGCAGGGCCCAGCATGCACAGAACCAAATGGAACATCTCGGGAGTAGGAGAGAGGCCAGCAGGGATGAGATACAGTTCTCACATAGCCATGGTCCTAGAGGGAGAGGATAAAATGAGCAGAGAGAGAAAAAGATGATGCTGGACTCAGATCAAGACAGAATACAATAAAACTAAGGAGAGCTTGGTTTCAACATGCCAGGTTATAACAGAGAAGGGTGGATTTTAAAAACTTTGCATAAACCAAGCCCCCCAGAGTCTATACAAACTATCTAACCTCCTGCAAAGATGGGGCTTAAATCTGCATGTTGCTGAACAGTCTCAGCTCCCGTGGACTTCAGTGGGAGCTGCAAGGGTTTGGCACCTCACGGGACCAGGACTCGTTTCCTGATTCTTTCTTGTGAGACCAGAAACACAGCTCCTTGGGCCTTCCCCGTCCCAGCCCAAAGCTGGCAGGGAAGCTAAAGGGTTTTCTTCACAGGTCTAACTTTTATCAACGTTTCAAGAACAGGTCACTTGAGTTTGGGATGAATGTTCGGTCCATATGTTATCCCTACCAGTCCCGTCCAACCTAAAGATAAGATACCCCCCACCCCCCGCCCAAACTCTTCTCGTCCCTCTGAGACTGGGAAGCTGGTTACTCCTTCTGCTTTAGCGCTCCTCACAGATTATCTAGCATGACTCCAAAGGAAGAACTGTCCATTCGTTAGAGCATTAGCCGGAGTTGTGGGAGCCCTGGAGTGCAAAAGGGGCAGGTGCACTGTGGCACGGCCATAGAGCTCCTGGCTGCCAGCCCCAAGTCCCTTTAATCTGCTGCAGGAACACCAGAGCACTGCTCCATGCAGCTGTGAGGCCGGGGAGGGGACAGCACCACGGTCCCAGCGGCGCTAAGGGCTGACTGTCCTTGGCCCCGTGGAATCAGCACCCCCCCATTTGCCCTGGGACCCGTGGTGGCTGTCCACTTTACTGATAATTATTTAATGGCAATGGAGGCTGAGATCCAAAAAAATTAAAGCTGTACAGCTGCTAAACATACAAACTGCCAACGTCACCTCAAACGATACAAAATAAATAGCCTCCTTAAATCAAACGCCAATAAGTTCCTAAGTGGCATTTTTCTTGCTTTCCCTATCTGCAAATGTCAATGATCAATGGAAATATTTTTTTGTCAGTCTGTGTGGGTGTGCTGAAATGGTGAAAAATTGATTTATTTCAAGCCTTCAGTAGACACCTCTGGTCACGCCACAAACATCCTACTCACACCACAAACAGTGTTCGTCACACATGCTCCCTGCACATGTCCTCACAAGCCAGTCCCGGCATTAACAAGGGTGTCTGAGGTTACCCGCTACATACCTACATTGCCTTGAGTGATAGCCATCTCATGTCACAGGTCTGAAGCAGCCATGAAGCGCATGAGCACACTGCACTCACTTGTATGGCTTTCAACAGCAGCCTCCTGCGGAGCTGGTCCCTGCCGTAACACGGGGCTTGGTGAGTGTAGACCCTGTGTGCCTGCCCGAACAGCCGCAGTGTCACCTCGTTCTCAGGAGCAATGCTCCTTTCTTTGATCTTGAAAGTGACCTGGGTTGAGGCATCTCCTACGGTCATGACTCCGACTGTTCCCTTCCTGGAGCGGCTCCACTGTCCACTCCAGCCGTACTAGACAAAAGGGGACCACAGAGGTAGATTTTAAAACTAAAGCCCCATTGCTGCTATTTCTGTGCTGGTGGCAGAACTGAGGTATCTGTTTGACTAATGACAGCAATCGGCAGTACCCACATTAACATGATACACAGTCACCCATGGCATTTTCCAAAGCCTTACTGAGCATCTAGCAAAATTAACTTTCCACTGAAGCTTGGGCATAATTTTCAACCCCTGGCAGGACATAGAAACATAGATCACAAGGTCACCAAGTCCAACCCCCTGCTCAAAGAAGGGCCAATCCCAACTCAATCATCTCAGCCAGGGCTCTGTCAAGCCGGGACTTAGACACCTCTAGGGATGTAGATTCCATCCCCTCCCTAAAGAACCCATCAGTGCTTCCCCACCTGCCTAGTGACATAGCATTTTCTAATATCCTACCTAGACCTCCCCCACTGCTACTTGAGACCATTGCTCCTCGTTCTGCCCTCTAGGTCTTTACACTGAATTGTGATTTTTGAATCAAGCAAAGTTACGCAGTGCTGTCACACTGTGGCGTAAACCTGTAGCTGGAGAAGTACAAACTGGATAACACCATTTAGGTTATCGGAACAGTTGGGCTTATGGGATGGCTTGTGTGTGTTTCAGATAAATGGATGGTAAACACAGAATGAGGGAAAGGTGTCAGCGGTGTACCCTATAGCATTGGACTACCTCCAGTCATGGAATCATAGAGCTGGAAGAGACCTCGGGAGGCCGTTGAGTCATTTAATAACAATCCCTGAAGACATGAGCCCTGAGAACAGAACCACCTCGCCTATGAAGCAATTATTTGTTAAACTCTTTCTCTCTACAGAGGCATGTCAGTGATTACACAAGACTTTCTGCCTAGTTCATGTACTTTAACTCCTTACAGGAACATCTTGTAGTCTCAGTTCTCAAACCCCACTGCTTCTTGAGAGGGCAGATTAGGCAAGTGCTGGCATTATTGATCTAAAAAAGCCACCAGAAAAGGGAAGGGCATATGTAGTCAGTATAGTAGCTGCTGTTCTGAATGGCGCTAAGAATCTTGTTAATTATTGGGCCTACATTTGGGTTATCTCACTGCATTCTACAGCATGATCTAAAAAGTCCTTTGTGGAGGACTCGTCGTACAGGCATTAGTCTGTCCTGCAGAACAATGTTAACTGATCTGGGGTCAGTGTGACCAGCCTCCCAGCTGAGAATTTTACAAAACAGCTTTCCACAAATAAAATAACGAAGGGCGTATGAACGGTCACCAGCAAACACGTGGGGAAACGAGCCCTCCCTTGTACAACCCTGCCAGTTTGGGAAAGCAGTGCTCTGCTCAATCCATGCACCCTTGGAACGGAGAAAAGGAAAGGAATGAACAGAGGGAAGGTGCATGAAGGCATGCCCTCTACTGTCCTCCGCTAGCCAAAGGCAGAACGGCTCACAGCCCCACTGCCGCCACAGCTAACGGGGATTTTTACCTAAGCTGAGAGAGCTTAAGGAGCAAAGGGACACGAATTGCATTTGCTGTCTTTGGCAAGTCCTGAGCGGTAACTCAACGGAGCCAAGCGGCCCACCAGTCTGGAATACATATGCGGAAAGTTGGTGGTGGTTACTGTCTGAACTAGAGCTGCAAGACGCGGGGGCGGGGGATCTTGTTTTTTTGTTTTAAACAGTCCCTCCATCTTGGGCCAGGCTTACTAAGAATCACCAACGTCTTTAAAACCGGGGTACATTTTCCTTTAGGCCCTGGGGAGTATGGCACCAAGCGCAGCATGTGAGCACGTCGGGAGAACGCTACGCTAGGGCAGTCCTTTTAATCCAGTCGCAACAGGGACCCCTTCCATGCCGGCCAGGCAAACGTTGTCGTATAGCCCGGCCACAGCAGCAGTCCAAGGGAGTTAGGAACAATTTCAAAACTCTGTTAGGCGCCTCCTACAGGCCGAACCCTAATGATCCCTCCACTCCTCCACTTGATTACTATCTATTCTTCCAGCCCAATTCTCTCTGTTATGCTGTGGTGGCACCACTGACATCAGTGGACTCACATTGTGGGGATGGCATGGAGAATCATGCAGGTGTCCTAAGCCAAGCCTGTAGCCTTTACCTTGATGAAGTTCTCCAGGAGATAGTTAACCGTGACCCAGCCAAACACCGCCTGCTGTGGAGGGGACAGAATTTCTGCCCCCCGAAAATCAAAAGGGAACAACTTCAGGGCGGAGGATACAGCAGCCAGCAGAGAATCCGACACAGCGGGACTGGTGAGGGTGGGTGAAGAGGGAAGAAGGATATTAGTTGACACAGGGCCCCAAGAACAAGCCTGAGTGTGGTGTTTGTTTTGAGAAGTGACACAGGATCACATTTACAACAGGCACCAATCCACCGCACTAACCACCACCTTATTCATGTGGCTGGAGAGCAGCCCACACAGACTCCGCCCTTGGAAGCCAAGCACGCGGTTTTAGAGAAGACACACGGTCCAGTGGTTAGGGCCCAAGGTTGGAAGTTGGGAGACCCGGATCTAATTCCCTGCCCTGCCACAGGCAGCCTGTGTGGCCATGAGCTTGTTGGTCCATGGGATTTAGACACTTCAAAGCCGCGGAGGGTCTGTACTTTCGCAACAGCGCCCCCTCCCTCTCAGGGGCACTGGGAGGATGCGCTTAGATAATGGGGTCTACCTACGATGGTTTGCCTGGCCAGTGCAGCCAGGGATGAACAGGGAGCTTGAGCAGTGGATAGTGGATGCCGGGGGAGGCTACGCTCCCACAAGCCTTGCACTGGGGGGAGGGGCAGTGGCAGATTTGGGGTTCCGGGAAAAATGCTGCTCTCACTTTTCCAGTCTCGGTGCCACAGTGAGGGGTGGGTGGGAGGGGTGCAAGCAGGGGCAGGGCCTTTGTGGGGGGGAGGCAGAGTGGGGGCAGGGCTGCAGGAGAAAATGAGGATGCTGCTGTGGGCAGAATAGGTCACAGCCCACAGAGAAGGGACAGAACAGGACAGGGTCCTGGGCGGGGCCGCAGGTGGAAAGGGGAGGGGCTCCAGGCTCAGCGCTCCCCTCTGTCCCTCTTGTGGCTCCCCCTGTCCCTCCCCCCCCAAGTGGCCTGGGCCGGAAGGGGCAGGGTAGGGGAGCTCGTCTTCCCACGGAGGGTCTTCACCCACCGCCAAGCCTGCAGATGGGAGAGAAAGGGGGCAATTGCCCTGGGGCTCCTGGGGTCACTGGAGCCCCAAGCAGCACGCTCCAGGCCCCTGCACCACACACTCCAGCTGGCTCTGAGGGCTGGGGTGGGGGCGGGGTGTCACACCATCCACAGCCCCAGCCCCACCCCTTCCAGCTGAGACCCCGCCCCTTCAGGGGGCACAGAGCCCCCCTCCCACATATTGCCCAGGGGCCTGGTGATCCTGTCAGCTCCTCTGCCCGCTGCTCATGACGGGGAAGCTACAAAACGGTGGCTTGTACCCGGTGTGCTCTCAGCAGCTGGATACCGAAACCTCGACTCACCTCAGCCTCGTACTATCAGTTGCTCCCAAATAGACAGGGGTCTGGCCGTGCTGCTGCGTAGGGATTTCTTTCATTGCTTGGCTGAGACATGGCTTTAAGCTGCTCCCAGCCTGCTCCGGGGAGCCTGCGTAGTGGTGGATTCCAGGACCTAAGAACCCAAAAGAAACAAGAAATACGAGCAGATGCACCCGGCCTCGCTGGGGTCTTGAACTCAAGTTGTTTTTGGAGTACAAGTGCACTGGCTTTACTTCAGTGAGCATCTTCTTCAGAACCGAAGGGGAAACGAAGTTTGTATTGATACAAGAATGGAAGTGATTCAAACATTAGACAGAGCACGTGGGCAGGCAATATTTGCAGGTTTTCTGCCTCTTGGTAGAATAAACAGATTTTCTGCACTTCTGGGAGGCTCACAACAGGAGGTGGGCAGTCAGGGAAGGGGACTTGGGGGGCTTAGGGCAGGGGTACCAGAATCAGGGCAGGTGGTGGAGAAATCAGGGCAAGGGGTTGGGCATGGGGGGCTCAGATAGGGAGTGGAGGTGCAGGAGTGAGGGCAGGGGAGCTGGGCAAGTGTGTTGGGGCTGAGCGCAGGGGGCGGGAATGCAGGAGTCAGGGCAGGGCGTGTGGGGCTCAGGGCAGAGCGCTGGGGGGGGGGTGAGGAGGATCTCAGGGAAGGGGGCTGGGATATGCAGGAGTTATTGTTGACCCAGCTGATCCAGGGGAGGCACGCTTCTGGGGGCTAGTCCCAGCCTGCAGTGCCCCCTCCCGGCCCTATAACCTGTTCTGAGGGGGCGAGGCTTTAGGGACCCTGGTTCTGCAGCCTCTTTGTGGGGGTAAGGTTGAAGCTCTAGGGCACTGTTTGCGGTTGCGGGGGGGCCACTTACCCTATCCGGTGCCTGTCATGTGGAGCCCTGTCCACAGCTGGGCACTCTGCTACTAGTGCAGCTGCCCCTGCTGGTCACTTCAGTATCATGCCCCTCCGCTCTGCCCCCTCCCTTTCCATGTTCTGGAAAACATTCCTATTCCAGGCACTTCCCATTGGCCTGGCACAACCACACCCTGACCTTGCTTTAAGTTAGGAGAAGAGGAAGCTGCCTCCCAAATTTGGGGGCTCTGGCTCTTACCATGTAGGAGGAGTTCTTGAACAAATTGACTCACAAACAGACAGACACACACATTCTCCAGGATAGACGGATTATGACTGGGCCATTAGCCTTCAAGATACATGCATCTTTTGAGAGAGAAGCATTTCTGTGGTTTAGGATTTGCTACTGAAGCTCTATAAGGTGATGAATCACCTGTGCTAGGCTCCAGCCAATCCAGGAGCCAGAGACTGGTCTAGTGACACTCACAGTTGATTTATAAGCCTCACCAGCACAACAGCAGCTGAGTCTGCTCAATATCATTTCAGGGCTTAGAACTCTTGCCTGATATTGACAACAGATTCCCCACGCCTTAGCCTGTTCCTACACTGTTCCTATTCCCTGAGCTCTGACTCTTAGGCTATGTCTACACTCGTGGCTTCTTGCGTGAGTAATATGCAAATGAGGCTAAGCGTGGAATATCGTCGAGCCTCATTTGCCTACCTAATGAGCCACCATTTTTTTCAGAAGAGGATCTTGCGCAAGAAGGAGTGTCTATACTGTCCTTTCTTGCGCAAGAAAAACCGTCTTGTGCAATTCCGTTCTTCCTGAAAAGTAATAGGTGTAACGGCATTGCGCAAGAGGGTTTTTCTTGCGCAAGAAGGGGCAGTGTAGATGCTCCTTCTTGCACAAGAGCCTCTTCTGAAAAAAATGGTGGCTCATTAGGTAGGCAAATGAGGCTCGACGATATTCCACGCTTAGCCTCATTTGCATATTACTTGCGCAAGAAGCCGCGAGTGTAGACATAGCCTTACATATAGTAACTCTGACCACATGACCATCTCCCCCCACCCCCTTAGTTTCTGATAAGATCAGTGCAGAATCCTGCCTCCAATAATGGCTGACACATGATGCCTCAGTGGAAAGAAATAAAGAGTATATGCATATAAATGCAACATGCTGCAAATAATTAAACTCAGAGATGCAAATCTAGGGTATTTACCAGGCTAAAAATATTAGCAAAGACGACCCATATCAGAGATCTGAGAGAGATGAGCAGGAAAGGAGGCAGCAGAGTAAGTCGAAGCTGTCAGCTTTCTTTCTCAAGTCACTTCCTTGTGTTCAAAAGAGAGGTTTTCACGCCATCCTTGCGGCTGCTACCAGCAGTAGCACAGGAAGCTTCTGTCTTAGAGGCCAGAGGAAGTTGTTAGTGCAAAGTGCGCTGTGCATGCAAATGGCACTGCTAAAGCAAGATTCACCGGGCTCTTAAACTGGATTCTTTTTAGAATAGCTAAACAAGGGGTCCACTTTCTGTAGCGGGGCATAGTTTATAAAACACTCAGGATGTTTTTTCTAGGACCTCCTGAGAAAATGCATCTCCTGTTGAAAACTCAGCTCCCATTCAGATATAATTGTGCTTTGTAGAGCACCATTAGCACGCACCGCACTTTGCACAATAGCTAGAATATGAGCTCCTCACCCAGTGGTTCTTCCTCTTAGGCCCTGTCTATGCTTCGGCAATGTTGCCAACTCTCCTGATTTTGTCACAAAGCTCCAGCCCCTGGAGGCATGTGATCATCTCAGGTTTGATTGTAAAATGTAAGGTTTGTGCCCATGTGCTTGCAGAGACCTTAAAGGCTACAACAGCAGAAGACTGAAACAAGGAACTCAGGAGTTATTTTTAATTGCAGAGTTCTGGGCAACCAGGATTAGTCATGGCTGATGCCAAACTTTTTTTTATATCTTTTTCAGTAAAATATTTGTAAGTAAAACTCCTTAGAATTAAGCCAGAGCTGCAAATATCCCACCTAATGTAACATGACTATCCAATAGCACACAGCCCTAAACAAAGTAACAACTGATATACTGTTAAGGATAATATACACTATTTCTAGTTATACAGTGCTAGCTAGAACAGTAGATTGTAATATGATCTGGCATGTGCCCGCTAAAGTTAATCTATAGCCCCAATTCAGGAAAGATGTGCTTGAAGTGAAGCTGTTTGTCTTTTCCCAATACACACCAGGATAATCATAGAATCGTAGACTCACTGGTCATGGAAGAGAGCTCAGGAGGTCATCCAGTCCAGCCCCCTGCCCAAAGCAGGACCAATCCCAACTCAATCAACCCAGCCAGGGCTTTGTCAAACTGAGACTTAAAAACCTCTAGGGATGGAGATTCCACCACCTCCCTAGGTAACCCATTCCAGTGCTTCACCACCCGCCTAGGGAAATAGTTTTCCCTCATTTCCAACCTAGATCTCCTCCACTGAAACTTGAGACCATTGCTCCTTGTTCTGACACCTGAGAAAAGCCTCGCTCCATCCTCTTTGGAACCTCCCTTCAGGAAGTTGAAGGCTGCTATCAAATAAACATGGCTCAGCAGCAAAGCAGATGCAAGCGTTCGAAATCAGCAACAGGGCTGTGTGGAAGAAAATGCTAATGTATGGCGACAAGTCATCTGTGTTGACTGTAACTGGGTTAAATGACTCATCACAGCGAATCAGTGGCAGGACCAGGGTGTGTCAGTCTCCAGCCCAATGCATTTTCCATTGCCACATGCTGACAATAGTTTGGACAAAACTAACTGATGGATCTACTGACAGCTATTAGTGATTTTTGATCTGAGGAAGTGGGTCTGGCCCACGAAAGCTCATCATCTAATAAACCATCTTGTTAGTCTTTAAAGTGCTACATTGTCCTGCACTTTGCTATTAGTTATTGTGTGTGAGCTGCAGTAGTTTTCTGAATCGGGGCCTATATGAGTTCCCACCTGGTAGCTGTTTAGTAGCTTCCTCAATGTATTCCTCAGGCTTGGGAGTTTACAATAGTTAATCATTTTTTTCTTGCAGGTTTCAGCAGATGGGTGTGTCCCAAAACTCAGATCCCCCACAAACCCAGCAGTAACAAAAGACAGGACTATGCAGCACTTTAGAGACTAACAAGATGGTTTATTATCACTGCAAATATGTAGTGGTTACTATATGTGGTTACTATAATATGACTATAATACATCTCTATTACTAAACCCAGCAGTGTCATCAGTAAATCCAAGCAGCCACAGCATAGCCATGAACTGCTGCCTAGTAGTTCCCATCATCTCATAACAGACTGGTTGACTTTTTGGGGCCAGATAAAAGAACTTGGAGGAAAGCTACTTTGGAACAGCATGAAAAAATCTTGGGCAGATCATAGTTACAATTGAATCAACTAATCTTTGGTTCTGTGAGAAGAGAATCCAGTAAACTACATTCTCTTTGACAAAGTGCCATACAGAAATGTTAGCTTTTTCTGGACTCTATTCAGCATTTCCACTGCTAAGATATCATATTGCAGTAGCCCCTGTCAATTCACTTAAAATGTGAAAGATATGATTTATCTAGTCCTAAAGCCAATCTACTATGTTTTAATCCAGTAAACTATGGTTTAAGGATTTTATAGGGGGACCTAAATCAGGCTTATAATGGAAACTCACTGCAAATATGTGGTGGTTACTATATGTGGTTACTATAATATGACTATAATAGGAAGACTACATAAGACATATGCCCTTGTATCTGAGGCCTGATAGGAGACAGGACCTGCTCACAGAATCTGGCAAAAACAGGGCTGATATTGCAGAAATGCACATTCCTAAGACGTGCCAGTCACATTGCACTCACGTAAACAAACCTAATATCAAATGGTAGCAAAGCATCCTGATATCAAGGATAGTACAAAAACATTCCTCAAGGTAGCAGAAACTCACTAAGGTCAGGATAAAAACATATGTATCAGGGCATCTCAGGGAGCGTATCTTTGGTCAGTCTGGGGATAGTGGAAAGTCCTGTCCCTGACTGAACTGTGCTCATTGCCATGGCCAGTGCTTGTTTTTGTTTAAAAAAAAAGTGCTGGTACTAGGATTGCCAGATGGTTTCAAAACCCGCCCCCAAAAAACCACACACCTCTGGGGAGTGACCTGGATGGTCAGGGGCCAAAATGCGGCCACGTCGAGCTTCCAGTGCAACGCATACCGTCACATAAAAAGCACTGGTCATGGGCATACAAGCCATGTGTTATTACCATGTTTTATTGAAAATAACCGTGGCCTGGTGCCTTCGTGCCTTAACAGATCTTGTCATTTGGTGGTCGGCTAGAAGTCTGCTGTGCTGGCTGACTGTGCGGAGCTAGATGGAGAACACAGAGAGAATACACACGACATAGTTGGAACATCAATCAGCCTTTAACCACACTGACTTTCTGTATGTCTGTGATCAGTCTGCTTGCTTTATTATTGTTATCAGTCCTACTGTTAGCCCTAGAACCAATGCAGCTATGGAAGAGTAAGGTGGATTTTAGTCTACCTTATATATCACCAACAAAATTGCCAGCTTAATGCTGTTTGAATCTCAGAATATTTTTCTACAGGCATTGGTGTAAAAGTCAAAAGGAGCCAAACTGGATTTTCAAATGCCAGGAGTTTGCAGAACCAGCTGTTAGAAAAGGCACCCTCATTTGATTTGAAAAATCATTTGCAAGACATCAGTTTCTGGTCTGACTACATTACAGCTTTAACTCGTTTTTTAAATCAATTAGTGACACAGATGGTGCTGAATATAGTTTGTGTTCACAGATCAAACAGTTTATCTAACACCTTAGGTACTTACCCTGTTGCCACTGTACTGGAGCAGCACCTCACTGCTTTTAATGTATTGATCTTTACAACAGCCCATAAGGCAGGCCAAGGCTATTCTCTCCATTGTTGGGGGAGCGGGGAACTAAGGCATAGATAGGTTAAGTGATTTGCCTGGGGTCATTGTCTCATGGCAGAGCAGAGATTTCAATCCAAGTCTCCCTGTCCTGGGCTAATGCCCTAACTACTAAGCTAACCTGTTTCTCTCTCATTTCTAGCCTGCATACTCACAAACTATGTCTTCTCTAGGAGTG